CATTTCATCTTCACTCTCTTCTCCATCTGATTCATCTCTTAGTGCAAGCCCTAAATGCTCTAGTACGTTCATTCCCTGTTGAGGACCAGAAACTCTTGCACCTTCACCACCAAACAGCAATTCGGTGGAGCGATCAGGACCAATGCTGATGTGCTCAGCAGGAGCACTCAGAAGGTGCATGTCCTTCATGATGGCATGGCTCTCGTCCAACTCCACGGACTTTGCCATCTGCTTGCCATGGAACACAGCATTGGACAGAGCCCGGAAGAACAGATGAATACACTGAATATAGAAAGAACATTGGCACAGAAACATAACAGATGACCCTAGTGGGGAGGGAGCATACCCCTTGCAGTGCACGACGCATTGCTTCTCTTTGCTCCTCCAGCTTTTTACGAGCTTTAATGGCGGCCTCTGCTTCTTTCCGCCTGCGAGTCTCCTGTGCTGCCCTGGCTTCAGCTTCCAAACGAGCTCGCTCTGTGTAGCAAAGCACAATGGTGTTAGCATATTGTTACGTCGTGAAAGGAAACAAGAAGTTCTATCATACAAACCTTCTCTGTGCTTTTTCTCAATTTCTTCCAGCTGCTTTTGATCCACACTTCGAGTCTGCAAGGAGAAACGGAACAAAAACATTAGGAAGCTAAGACCATTATAACATAGAGGCAATCAAGCAAGAGCTGTGAGGATATCGACTTGCCTCAGTTGCCTTCTTCTGGGCGTTCAAAATTATGTCAGCGTACTTCCCTCGAAGAAGGGCTGCTTTTACGGCCGCCTCGTCGTCACCTGAGAAGATTTAAGAATCCAACATGCGGCATGAGTGATCCCAACAGTGATGTACCACCCAATGCTGAACATAAAGAGCCTCCACAAGCACTTACCTTTGAAAGATGGCTTCACCTCCTTCGGCTTTTCATCTTGCTTCACATCAACCTCCATCTTCGTCCCTTCGCGTGCAGCAGCACTGTCACCTCCTGCATCAAATGGCAGAACCACCCAACTCATGGGCGTTGTTCTCAAAGTTCACACAGCGTGGATATCCTGTACAAAATGCCCAGTTCAGATGCATTGGGACACAAATTGCACTACCCCAGTGCAATAGCTGTGCAAGTTGGCTTACCTGCATTAGGAGAGGAGCATTTATCACTGGCCTTTGCACTATCCTTGCTCTGAGTCTGCTGCACAGTTTAACAAGTAAAGAGAGGTACCGACATCATTTTTCTGGAATCTGTTTTTTTCCTTTTCGCAAAATGCTAAAGGAGCGGCAGGAAACGGAGCAATTCAGTCACCTTCCCACGGGCAGCCTCAGAAGGTGTTCCCTTGGAGCGCCGATCTTCGTGATCAGACTCGCTGGCGGATGTGCCGCTGTCTGAGTCACTATCTGAGTAGCACAATTGGGAAAAAACAAAACATCTGAGTGTGGGGAAAGAAAATGGTAACCAATGTTGGGAGTGATGATGGAAGAAGTGGGTGCGAGGGGACGCGCGGGAAGGGAACAGAGCAAGGATAAGTTAAGGCTTGACAAGCATACCACTGGACGAGCTATCATCGCTCGAACTGGATGATCCCGAGGTGCCTGGACTGGCCTTCCCTCCCACTCCATTCCCAGCTGGCAGTTTGGCTGCTGCCGAGTCTGCAGCAGAAGCGACAGCAGCAGCTCCATGGATAAGACCGGAACCTTCCTCGACAATGTCAACACTGTCCTCGCCTTCTGGGAAGCAAAGGAAAGAGAACAGGATGTCAGGAAACAGCACAGGCGATAGCACAAGGATAGCATAGCACAAGGATAGCACAGCACAAGGATAGCAAGGCACAACGACAGGACGTGTGCTGCATTATCTACACAATTCAGACTAAAAAAATGGTTTAGCAGTTTTACTCAGACACAGGTTCTCTTGTACCTTTGAGCTCCTGTTGTGAAGCAGGAAGAGCGTCCGGAACCTGCACAGGCCAAAAACAGCAGCACAACCAAATCAGCATGCCAGAATGTACCAGAATGAAACAAACTGCACAGAGAAGCTAAACATCAGCCAGACCTGAAATCCAAACCACGCACACAAACCTTGGACGAAGGCACCGATTGCTTCTGTTGCAGAAGAGCCCGCTTCCGCTTGCTCTTGCTCTTCATGCAGTTGGCCACGTATCTCTCCAGCTCCCACAGCGTCTCACTGTCCAGCGAGTCAATGTCAAGTTCGATCTCATCCGCGTTCTGACTCAAATCAGGATTGCGCTCCGATATGATCTGCACAATCCGATCCAGATTCTCCGGAGGAAGCTTCCCCAGGTTAACACTCAGCTTCTGCTTCTCTGCAAACGTCATGTCCCTCGGAGGAAGCTTCCCCTTCGCCTGAACCTGCGCTACTGCCTGGCCCGTCGCTTTCCCACCGACCTGCATCTGCGACTCTAGCTTCTGCAACCGCTTCTCCAGCTCTTGAACCTCTGGCTTCTCGCGGCCGTCACTCATCTCCCTAGCTGCCTTAGCTCCCTTAACGTCCTCTACAGCCATCAGCTCCTGGTCTTCCTGCCTGCGTTTCGCGGCATCTTCCTCCACCTTGAGTCGGATCTTCCTGTACCCTTGCTCGAACAGGCCCTTCAATTCCAACGTCATGATGTACACGTCGCTGCCTTCCCCGTTATACCGCATAGCGTTCGACCAAACCAGCTGCACGTCGCTGTATAGTTCGTCTGGATGCTGGTAACCCGACGCCTTGATTTTCGCGGTAATCGTGCCCAGGTCCATCGGATTCGTGATCACCGTGTGGTAATCGTGTAACCCGAGCTTCGCCGCGTCGACGGGCTCTTTGAACACCCATCCGTATTTATGCGACATCAGTCGTTTCAGCAGCGTCGCGTACTGCTTACAAATGTCGTTCAATCGCCTCGCTCTAGCAGCTTCGATTTTCTGCCGTTTCAGATCGAGTTCCGGCGTGTTTGCAGGAACATTCTTCCCCTTGCCTCTCTCGAGAACCAAGGCCTTCTCCTTAGCATGAAACGAATCAGCGCTTAACGGTGCGATCCACTCCTTGCCTGAAGGCTCCGTTTCTGAAACCTGTATTCGCACTTGGGGCGCAGGAACGAGCGGAGCGGCTACAGCGACAGGCGAGGCGTCCATCGACCCGGATTCCACCGTGTGAGACGCAATCGTACCATTCTCGGAACGTCTCATCCGCTTCCTGCTCTCCGCACCCTTCCCTGACAACTCCTCGCACCGTAATGCTCCCTCCCTGGCTTCCACTTTCTCACTTAAACCCTGCAGCTGTTCCAGCTCATCTCGAAACTTTCTCCGGAGGCCTCTCCTTTCGCCACGTGTCCACCCGGCCAAACCAGTCCCTGTGTCTCCATCTCTACTGCTCCCTCTGCTGTCTCTCCTATCCCCTGGCCTGGCATGATCAACCGCATGACCTCCGCCGTTGGAAACTGGAACCTTCCGTTTGAGTGATTCTTCTGAGAAGCTGGGCTGGGCAGCAACGGGAACTGCTGGGAAATCGGCGACAGGCGGGGCATCTGCTGAAGTCTTGATAACGCTAACGCTTCCTGTGGACTTTCTCCTTCGACTATCTAAACTATCTGGCTTCACTAACCCTTTGATGTTTACGTCGGCTGCCGGACCTACAGGCTCCAAGGCGTATCCCTTGCGTACTCTCCGCTTCATGGCCTCTTCCCTGGTTATAATAACCTCGTTCCGTCTGCGAGGCTCGAGAGCTGCTGGCGCCATTGCTCCCTGTTGCAAACAGAAACAAGAGCATAATTCTAGAGTCCTGTTGAATTGATTTCTAGACAAGAATAGCATCACGTGATAAGGTTGAGAAACAGCAAAAGGCAGGAAAGACGCACCTTTGCACCTCTTTCCATGCGAGGACAAGCCCACGTGAATCACGGAAAGGAAGTGCCAGACTTCGCAACTGCAATTCATCGTGGGTAACACGAACCAGAGGAAGTCATGGTTTATACACCTGCCATGATGCATATACCAGTTGAAACAAGCTCGCCAAGTTAAACTTAGTACCGAGGAGGAAGACCCTTCTGGCCTTATTTAGTATCGTCAAACGCAAGCTGCTCGACATCTCAACCTCTTTCTACCAACTGGTAACTTACATATTGAATCCTTAAGATCCAAACCCTAAAAACGACCTACTATGTTGCTTTAACTGGGTTCTTGTTTTATTCTGCTGAGCAATGTGCTAGGACAAAGAAAACACGGTTCATCAGTGCAATATACCTTCCTCCCTCCGTTGCTTCTCTCAGTTCGAAAAAAACAGATCCGACGCAGAAGAAAATTCAGCTTGCTCCACAAACAAACAAAATAAAATCAAGAAAAGGTATGTTCAACTCCGCTAGCTTAAACTGTGTCGATCTGCAATATCTAAGCCTCTATGGCTAACGGGAGGGAACCTAGGAGCTAGCGAATAGTGATGCCCAAAAGTTGAAACCCTAGCTCCGTTGCTGCTGTTCGTGGACGGGGTGAGGTGAGAAACGTGGAAAGAAGAGAGCAGCGGGAGAGAGGGAGCGTGGCGACGTGTGCAGCAAGCAACCACCAGATGGCGAAATTGCGGACATATGAAGTGTGCGTCGCAGAATGTTCCAGAAAGCACGTTACATTTCGTTTGCTTATTCACAAAATTGATCACTACAAAAAAAACTTCTAGCATCATGCCAACACAAAGAATCAATTGAATATGCTACTTGCAACCATCAAAATCACGGATCAAGCCTCTGTACCACTATTTCGTCTAGTCACTGATGACCTGCAAAGGCAAGCAAATTAAGTTCGAAAATGATTAAGCGTTGGTAATTATGTCAATTGGAAATATATTCGTACAAACTGCAGAGCAGCTTACCCTGCTACTGTTGTGGATTATGACACATCCATCTAACCCTTGTCAAAGCAGCACTGCCAGGTGTTAATAGAGCCAGCAAAATCAGGGATATGCTACCAGTTCTGCACAATACAGCACAAAGAATGTTACTTAACAAAGTGCAACCATAGGTCCAATAACAAGGTGTTACAAGCGGGGTGCTCCACCAACCTTGTCAGGGGAGGCCTCTGAGCCAGCATCTCTTGACTGAATTTCATCTGAGTCGCTGCTGGAAGAATCGCTCCCAGAGTCGCTTTCTGTAAATGTAGCACACAAAATGGTGAGTTAAGCATCTGCGGATGAAGCTCCAGCTGCAGCACTGGACGAATGAAATCACCTCTAGTACCAACTAGGCAGGCATCACACATACCACTTGAGAAACTATCATCACTTGACCCTGATGAGCCAGAAGAGTCAGAGACAGCTCCTCCGCCTTGTGCTCCGTTCCCTGCTGACGCCCTTGACGGCTCCGGCCTAGAGGGGCCTGCTGGCTGCGCGGGCAAAGGCCCTTCGTCCCCAATGTCAATGCTGTCTTCACCTTCTGCATAGCCATGTGACAAACGCCAACAGAGGATGGTGTGAGCACCTGACATGCTCTTGGCCTGACAGAACAAATATCGGTAGGCACATTAAGCAGCACTAGTAAGACACGAGGCAGCAAATTACCTTTAAGGTCTCCTGCTGAGCTTGCTGGGAACGCATCCACGCCCTGGACAGAGTAGCGGGTGGGATAGAGAAGCAACGTCAACAAGTCAGTCCGCATATCCAGGTTCGAAGAGGAACGGTAAAGGTCACAATGGCATGGAACATGAACCAGCAAGCACCACTCAAGCTCCTCACCTTGGGTTGCACGGTGTCGTAAAGAGGGAGCTTCTTCCGCTTGCTCTTGCTCTTCATGCAGTTGGCCACGTATCTCTCCAGCTCCCACAGCGTCTCACTGTCCAGCGAGTCAATGTCAAGCTCGATCTCATCCGCGTTCTGACTCAAATCAGGATTGCGCTCCGATATGATTTGCACGATCCTGTCTAGCTTCTCCGGAGGAAGCTTCCCCAGGTTAACACTCAACTTCTGCTTCTCTGCAAACGTCATGTCCCTCTTCTTCGTATCAGCCGCTCGCGGCTTAGCCTGACCCCCCTTGGCTTTCCCTTGCTGCTGCTGCGCCTTAGTGCTCGCCACTAGCTGCGACTCTAACTTCTGTAACCGCTTCTCCAACTCTAACACTTCCGACTTGTCCCTGGGATCTGGTAGACCCCCTCCCGCTGCCAGCAACTCGTCCTCCTGTCGCCTCTTCACCGCATCCTCGTCCAGCTTCTGCTGAACTTTCTGGTACCCTTGCTCGAACATGTTTTTCAGCTCCGCCGCCATGTGATACACGTCATTGCCTTCCCCGTTGTAAGTCATGGCGTTGGACCAAACGAGCAGCACGTCGTTGTGGAGCTCGTCGGGATGCTGGTAACCCGACGCCTTTAATCTCGTGTTGATAGTGCCCAGATCCATAGGATTCTTGATAACGGTGTGGTAATCGTGTAACTTGAGCTTCTCCGCGTCTACAGGGACATTGAAAACCCACGAGAACCTGTGCGACATGATTCGCTTTAGAAGCGCCCCGCACATGCGGAAAACATCCGCCATGCGTTTCGCCCGTGCGGACTCCACCTTCTGCCTACGCGGATCTTTCTGCTCTACTCCCTTTCCCCCACCCTTCTTCTGACTAGACGACTTCGACTTCCCCTTCTCCGGCGGCGGGAGCTTATCGGCCGCGGACAAGAAGTCGGGATGTATGTACGTTGTATTCGCCTTCGGCGTCCGCTTCTCCTTTCCGCCTGGTGTTCTCTCCCCGCCTGCAGTCCCTCTCCTTCTCTGGTGCTGGTGAAGTTGCTGCGCCACTCCCACCGCCAAGGGGCCTCCGCTCTGCGCTGTTTCCCCTAAGCCCCCGTCGAGCGGCTGCCCTGCGGACGAAAGTTCCGTGGCTCCGCCGTTTTCCGATCTGCGAACCCTCCGGTCCCCAAGCGAGTCACTAAGAATAACCTGCGGCTCCTGCATCAATCTAATCTCGCGAGCGTCTACTCTCCGACCTAGAGCCAGCACTGTATTCAAATCCGTCCTAATCTCTCGCCTAAGAGATCTCCTCTCGCTCCTAGAAAGAAGCCCACGTACGGCTTCCGAAACGCTCCCTGGGCCATCACGATGAATGATTTCTGTCAGAGCCTTGCGCTTGCGACCGATTTCGTTCGGACCCGTGCAGTCGCCGTCCATCTTAGAAACGCCAGACTCCTCTCGTTTCCCGCCGTTCGCCGCGGAAATCTTTCGCTTCTTGCCGTCCGATTCGTACATGATCTCGCCGTCGTGCTCGAAGACGTCAGGATCCAACGGAACTGCTTCGTATGCGTGACCGTTCGGTAGCCGCCTCTTCTTAGCGCGGTCTCCTTGTGAAAAAACGTGGTCGTTTTTTCGATGCGGATTAACGGCGGCTGGTGTCATCTTCTCTGAAACACATAGCGGGAAAAAAGAAGATGAAGATTATGAAACAAATAAAAAATACAGCACGGAAAACGAGGAAACAAGACAACGAAAGAAAGCATACATGTTAAAGCCAAGCTTGTTTCCTTAACAGGGAGAACAAACTTGTGCTCCTGAAGTCATCGATTTGAAGCCACGTAGCCACGGCCCAGTAACCGAGCTAAACGCCTGTCTTCAAGTGACCATATAGCAGACGGAAAAGGCATCCACGAGTTTCCGGGACAATCGCGTCCCACGAGCTCCCGGAGCAGGCGCGTCTTGCTGCGATGCCAGGTTGGCGCAGATCCAGTCGAGCAGCCGTCTCCAGGATGGAGCAACCCGAGACTTGGTGCTGGGAAGAGCAGACTTGCAGAAACCAGCAGCTGGCTGGAAATAACGGCGGAAGGAAAATCCGAGGTTGCTGTGGTTTGAAATGGAGAAAAATGGTGAGTTGAAATACCAAACCCTAGGCATCAAGCCGCTCGCTATGATGGAGATTACAGCGAGTAGGCGCCGTAAACTTCGATATGAAGGCACTACAGAGTGAAGATTAATAGAAACAGTGATTCGCAGTGCTGCTTAAACATTCTTAGCTACATCAGAATCACAGCAAAGCATGTACCGTACATCAATATCTGCACATTTGCAATCTGGAAGGAATAGCTTACTGGGATAAGGTGAAGAACAACCATGGCTGGAAACGCACATGACGTGGCATATTTAGTGATGAAGTTTCTTGTTATCTATTATACATAATTCAGAGCATTACAAATTATTTGGTAAAATCATATGGATAGCGACATGCACTACGGTATCAGCCAGCCATTAAATGCTGGATGCAGGCAGGCAGAGTACTACCAGTCAGTCACACCTACACATGAAGCCACTTGACGCTGTATTCTTGCAATCTCAGTTATCCCAGGCAGAGATCCCATTACCATGGGAGGCATTGATTGGTGCAGACCGCCAGTCCCATAGACATGAAGGGAGGTCGGGAACAAGGCACCAGGGTTAGGGGAAGTTATGTTAACGCTGTCCATAAATATGTCGGTGCAGGGAACGGTTCGGCTACACCTAAAGATAATCCCTTCAGGACCAAAAGTCGTGCCCTGGATGTTAGAGTATGTTACGTTAGAAATGGCAACGTTGCTAGTCTTGACGTCGCTGTAACAGTAGAGGCTGCCTCCACAGTAGAACTGAGAGGGCAAGTGGGCGAACGCAGAGGGGCAGGACAACAAAAGCGGGTGAGCCAAACATGATAAAGAAGTTCCAAAAGGAGACTGGCATGAGATGCCGTCAAAAGGTACGTATGTTAAAAGCTTGTAACACGATGGAGGGAGAGAAGAGAGAGGGGGGATTGAACGATATATTGGCAAAACATAATATCTGCAATCTTGGCAGGGTTGCCAGGGAAGAGTGTGCTGCTTCATGGATTGCACAACCCACCTGATCGAGGACGATTGGATACCGCACGTTCTCCATGGAGATGCTGTCACACACGATGTTGACTTCCGAGGCGCCTCAAAAGGACTTCACAGAATGCACAACCCACCTGGTCGAGGACGATTGGATATCGAACGTTCTCCATGGATATTCCGTCATAAATGATGTTGCTGGCCTTCCCGGATCCTCCCTGGAAGGTCTTGATGCGCAGGCCTATCTTGGTGTTGACGAATCGCACGTCCCTCACTGATATGTCCGACACGCAGGAGACCGGATACACGGTGCCGCTCCCTAGCGCGCCGATGCTGGCAAGAGTCAAAGAGGAGGAGGGAAAAGGGTAAGAGGGAAAGGGGGAGGTGAAGAAAGAACGAGGCATACAAGCATTGATGGCGCACGAGAGAGCAAGCCTTTGTCATGAGTTGCACAATGTGCAAGGCGTGTGACATTCCCTTATTTCACCCCACTTACGAGATGCCATGGCCCGTGAAGCACGTGACATTCGATATAGTCACGCCGACAGCGCCATCCCACATGGACACGTTGTCATCACCCCCGGCGAGCGTGCACCGTCGGATGTCGATGTTGAGGGAGGAGGAGATGTGGATGCCGTCCGTGTTGATGCTCTCTGCTGGTGAGTCCGTGCGGAAATCAAAGATGCGCATGTTGGCGCACCGAAAGATCTGCACGTGGAAGAAAGCGGCGTTCCTGCCACGTGGGCAAAGGGGAGCAGATGATTGAGACGGATTTGAAGTATTGAATAGGAGTGAGTTGGGATTCCTGCATCTGAGTCCGTGCGGAAATTAAAGATGCGCATGTTGGCACACCGGAACACCTGCACGTGGAAGAAAGCCGCGTTCCTGAGGAGTGGGAGAAGGGAAGGGGAGAGTTGGTGAGCTTTGGGAGCGTTGAGTAGGAGTGAGTTGGGATTCCTGCATCTGAGTCCGTGCGGAAGTCAAAGATGCGCATGTTGGCGCACCGGAACACTTGCATGTGGAAGAAAGCAGCGTTCCTGGCGTGTGGGAGAAGGGGATGAATCAATTGGCTCAGGTTTAAAGTCTTGAATAGGAGCAAGTGGGATTGCTGCATCCCTGTTCTCGAAGTCGCCTCGTCACAATGTCACACGCGGCATTTCAGGCTGGCTCAAAAGGCATGCATGCTGACCTGAGAGTGGTGCCGCTGAGCACTGTCTGATTGCACCAGAAGGCATAGACTCGTGAATCGGCTCAACATTCACGCACACTTACCTAAGCGTGATGCCACTGAGCACGGTCTGATTACACCGGAAGAAATAGAGCAGCATGGGCCGATCGCCCTTCCCCTTCTGCTCCCAGAACAGCTGCCCTCGCCCGTCCACCACGCCACTCCCATACACCTTCAGCCCTGTGATCCCCTTAAAGTAGAGAATCGTGAAGGGGCCATTCTTGGGAACGGTGTAGACCTTTGGGTTCTGAGGCACGGTGATGTTACCGTCCAGCTGCACGTTCACGCCTGAAGGCCCGCAGGGGCCAAGGAAGGAAACACCCATGATGTGGAAGGTGTATTTACCCGGAATCAGCACTGTTGGGACACCCTGGCCTGTACTGTCCCCTCCTCCACTTCCTGTGCTGCTGTTGATGGAAGCAGCACAAGCAGCAGCGAACGCTGCTTCTATAGCCTTGCCATCGTTGCTCTTCCCGTCCCCCTTGGCTCCAAAGCTCCTGACGTCATACACGCCACCAGTGCCAGGTGGCACCGGCTTACTGGACGACGGCACGTTAGGAGGTAGCTCGTACCATTCCCCTTCCCCTTCCCCTTCCCCATCCGCCTCTTCCTCCCCATCCCCCCCTGGCGTAACCCCTCCTCCCCCCTTAGGCGGGGGAGGAGGGGGGTTCTGTCCGGGGTTGGGCTTGGCGGAGGGGGGCGGAGGGGAGCGCGGAGGGGAGCTAGCGGGTTGGGAGGGTTTGATAGGAGGGGGGGACTTGACCGGCTTAGGAGGGGGAGATGGTAGAGGCGTGGGGGAAGGGGGCGGGGACTTGGGAGGGGGCGGGGATTTGAGAGTGGGCGGGGATTTGAGAGGGGGCGGAGACTTGGGAGGGGGCGGGGATTTGGGAGGGGGAGGGGATTGAGGAGGGGGAGGGGATTTGGGAGGGGGTGAGGATTTGGGAGGCGGCGGGGATTTGGGAGGGGGTTGGGTCTTATTTAAGGGTGGAGATGGTGAGAGGGTGGGGGGAGGGGGAGATTTCTGGGGCTTAGGCAGGGGTAGAGATGGTGGAGCAATAGGGGGAGGAGGGCTTTTAGGCGGTTTGATGATCGGAGTAGGCTTGGGAGGAGGTGGGCTGGAGGGTGTGGGTGATTTGGGGGGCTTGGTCGAGGGTGACGGGGAGGGCGGGGAGGGAGGGTCAGGCGGAGCAGCAGCGACAACAGCAGGCGGAGATAGCGTACTGGCGGAAGGCTTTGGGGGAGACTTGGGGGACTTGGACGTCGGGGGAGGCTTCGGGGATTTCCGCGGCTTGGGCGTCTTGGCCGGCTTATGCGGACTCTTGGACGGCTTAGGAGGACTCTTGGACGGCTTAGGCGGAGACTTGAGCGGTTTCGGCGGGCTGCTAGTCACACTGGGTACGCTGGTGTTATTCCCCCCGCCGCTGACCCCAGCAGCACTGCCAGCATCCCCATCACCCCCATCCTTTGATCCTGCACCGCCAGCATCCGTGTCGTTGGTTCCTTGCTTCACAGGGGACGCAGGAGCAGGAGGAAGAGGAGGAGGAGGAAGAGGGGCGGTAGGTTTGAGAGCGGCCGGCCGTGGAGGTTGCTTCAGGGGAGACTTGGTCGTTTTGAACGCGCTCGCGGAGGTGGCGAGGAGCGGAAGGGACGGCGAGACGGACGCAGTGGCCTCAGACGCAGCAGAGTTAGTGACGGAGCGAATTGACGTCTGAACCATGTCGGGTCTGGCGTGAATCAATTGCAATCGGCGACGGACGAAAGCGAACGAAGCACGAGCTAACTCAGTCAGTCTCCGGGTGAGGCGTTTCGATCCATTCCCAGACGTTGGATGTCCTACCATCTGCTGCTGCTTGCCTGCTTCGTTCGCGTCCTCCGCTCTTCTTGTCACAGCGGCGAAAGGAAGCACAGATTCCGGTCTGAAGGAAGTAGCTCCATTGTGAAATTGGTCCTGCTCCACATCGTGAACTGTCTTCAGTAACGAGCCTTCTCCGCAAGAGAGCATATCCGATCCGAGTGCGTCGGTAGATGCAGGTGTCGAGACATTTGATGACGACGCGCTTATGATGGTGGAGGTGGAGAGGAGGATGAGCACGGCGAGTGCAGTGACTACTTTGCTGGAAAGACGAAACGCTCGACGTGCCATCACGGGGCAGAGGCTGTCATCTATCGCAGGTCGAAACCGAGAGACGGGGATTCATCTGAGACTCGGACCGAAGCTCTATCCCGACGTGGAAAAACTGTGCAGGAATGATGAGAAAAGAACTGCGTTGATTGATGACGGTAGTGCTCGTTAGCGAGATAGTCGCGGTGCTGGGCTACAAGCTGGCTAAGGACTCTGCCATTTTCCTCTACTTGGCTGCACGGGTACAGATACCATCGCGGAATTGCTAACTTGAGAGGGAATAGGACCGTTCCTCGATCGACTTTCTTGTAATTAGATACTGGAAACGGAAGAAATGTCGATCGGAAGCAAATCGTCGGGGCTGAGTGAGATGTTATGAAGCTGCCAACGATGCGAGGGGGTTCATAGTCCAGCGTGGATAGATACACAATGGGTCAAGCTTCCAGTCAAAACCTGGACGCGAGGTGACACTCGCGTAATCTACCGACATCTTCAGGAAGGTGGATGTGCAAGGACGCTGGGAACAACTGGTCCGGAAATGTACTAGGACAAGATGATATGGGAAAGGCAGTTCTAGCTGGTTGCTTTTGCTGCGTGCAAGCTCACGGCGAGAGATGCGTGCTTGATGGGAAGAAGCGAAAGGGCGCGAGGAATACGGCAGGAACGAATAAAATGTTAGAAATACTGACGGCAGAGAGTGAGCTGAATAGGAGGATCAACAATCAGGCAGGGCGCCAACGGTAGCGTCAGAAGGTGCAACCGACACGCGGGCTTGCTTGATGGGTCTCTTGCGTTGCTGGGCTCCTGGATTTGGTTTTCTTGGACGTCGCATGGTTTTCGTCGATACGACGAAATGTGTTTTTCCTCTTGATGTTTTCGCCGCATCGCACATTTCAACTATCCACGGGCTTTCACGGGCTGTTTTGCGGAGAAATGAGCCAATCAAATACAGGAGTATCTCTGCCCGTGTGAATTTGGGACATATGGGTCAGGTGGTTGAATCAACATGCGACACGGTTTGTCATTTTTGGGCTGGGTGGCGCCAGAACCCCCTCGGGTTTGCTTTTCACCACCCGTTTGTCGTCAGCAAGCAGTCAACGGACAGAAAAGCAGTCAGCAGCCGTAAAAGGAACGGAAATTGTCATTCTTGCACTTGATTTTGTGCTTCTACGAAAAGCCCCGTTGATGTAATTGAACAGTTCTCCGCTTCACACGCAAATTACTCTCCTGCTTCACGCAAAACTTTCACACCAGCTCAAGCCCGTTTCAGTCTGAAAATAATCTGGATTCCGCCTACCTTAGCTAGGTGATGACCTAACATTCCATGCATCCAGGAGCTAGATGCTCTACTATTACTAAGAAATCGAGACTGTAGGAAAGGGATACTTCCATGTGGCGCTAAAGCTGCATTGGTGTGTTTGATCTTCCAGATAGCCTCCGTTTTTCCACACACGCTCAGGCGCAGACTAAGCGAAAATGGCTCATAAACCGGATGACGAATACGATTACTTATTTAAAGTCGTCCTAATAGGAGATTCTGGAGTGGGGAAGTCTAATCTGCTCTCTAGATTTACCCGCAACGAGTTTTGCTTGGAGTCGAAATCGACTATTGGAGTTGAGTTTGCAACACGAAGCATTCAGGTACGCGAAGTTCTTACGACATTGTTAATCACGGCATTCTCAATTATATGCTTCTAAAAGGCTTGTTCTCCCAGGTTGATGGGAAGACAATCAAGGCGCAGATCTGGGATACGGCAGGTCAAGAAAGATATCGCGCCATCACAAGCGTGTATTACAGAGGAGCTGTGGGTTGCCTGCTTGTCTATGACATTACTAAACCTGTGACGTACGAGAACGTGGAAAGGTGGCTGAAGGAATTACGAGACCATGCAGACGCAAACATTGTGATTACCCTTGTTGGCAACAAGTCTGACCTGAGGCACCTCAGAGCGGTTGCTACAGAAGACGCGCAGTCTTTTGCAGGTAAATGTGCTGTTCTTCCTCTTGCTTCTGATGTTGCTGCATTTACCGCATGTAGAAAGTACTGACTTCACCAACGTTTGTTGCAGAGAAAGAAGGCCTTTCTTTTATTGAGACATCTGCATTGGAGTCAACGAATGTGGAAAACGCATTTCATAAAATATTGACTGAAATTTATCGCATTGTGAGCAAGAAGGCCCTCGGCCAAGAAGACTCTGGCCCTGCTGGGCCTGGAGAGGGCACAACAATCGTGGTTGGGGATGGAAATGCAGCCAAGTCAGGGTGCTGTGGGTAATAATACGTGAATGGCTTACACTGTACCATACTGCTTTGCAAACCACATAGGAAGTTGCTGGAAAGGAAACCACCAATGCCAATGATTTTCCATTCAGAGTTTACCAGACAGCACTCTACTGGCCAGAACTCTCGTATCTGGAAAACGGTCGAAACCATGTAAGACTGACAATGTGCCCCCATGTTCATTAAGCAGCTTCTTGTGGTCTCCGATAATGTATTTATCATCTGGACCGAACCGATGAAGGACACTTGCACGCTCCATGTCTTGCACCTTAATTTGTGGCATGCTCTTGAGCATCCCTGCAGCATCAGAGAGCCCTGCCATTAGTAGCTGCAATCATTTAAAACAAAACGAGTTGTCTGGCACATGGTTCATGAGGAACTTACCTGCTCTTACTAGCTGGTTGATGACTGCTTGATCACTCGTTTCCCACCGCATGCACACTCTTGGACCCTGCTGAAAGATTGCCACAATCAGTGTCAGCAGCTGTCGCATGTGTGAGGCCGGGCCATAAATGAAGCCAGGGTTGATAACACGCATTCCTCCAAGTGAGAAAGCCTCCTTCCGTGAAAAGCAGGACAATAATTGCTTGTGTTGCAATGATAATGCCTTAGTCCCATGCCGAGGGTATTGAGAAGCTTCCTGCAGTGGATAGAAAGGTGGAAGAGAGAATGATGGTCAACCAAGCCACGTCTAGAGCAGAACTTGAAAACGGAAACAACTTACTGTGATAAAGCGCAGAAACATGTCCTTTGACTTCTTTGCAGGAAAAGGGTCGCGAAGGAAGAGTATATCATGAGCATCAGAAAGGGCCACATTCCCTTCAAATGATGAGCCCAATTCATGCAGGAACTTCTTAAACACGAGATACCGGATGTTGGTGGCAGGAGCATGACTCCAATTTCCTGGAGAGAAAGGTTTAAGGAAAACCGAAAACAAAGCTTCAGAAACAAATCTGGGCGAATCCATGCTCGCAACATTAGCATCATAATATCTGGTATTATAGTGTTTTCCCCTCTCACCTGCTCGGGGAGCTTCATACTGTTGCATATATATCCCTTTTCTCTGCTCAGCAGTCATTGGCCACCACCACAGAGGCACGCGATCAAAGAACAAAATCAACCACGCTCGCCCTCCATGCTCCACAAACCGTTTAAACGACTGGAGCAGCACTGTTAGGTTTTTGGAGGCTTCCCCTGTGGCTAGAGTTAGAATGATGTTGTCAGGCCAGGTCTTGGGAGGAGTGGGCGTGATGGGCTTAAATTTGAGGAGATAATCATTTGGATTTGGAGGAGGCCGTGGAGGCTTCTTTGGCGGGGGCTTAGGTTGGGGAGGCGGGGATGCAAGGACCACAGGTTTGGCCCTGGCTACTGCTTGAGAATTGCTCGAAGGGGAATGGCATGGGGGAAAAGAGACGGGGTGGAGATTATCTTAAGCACGGGAAGGAAATAGACAGTGAGGAGAGGGTGGAGAGACGGGGGGTTGGAAGGGGATAGAGTGGAGGAAGGTGGAACAAGAGGAGGAGGGGATGGTGAGGTTGTGAAGGGAGAGAACCGCGTCAAGTATCCAGCAAGGACTGACTCACTAATGCTCACGCGATCCAAATAACACACATTGCTTCCATTCTTCCATGCTTCCATTCTCCATCGGGGAGGATATGCAAACTGGTCACCAGAGTGCATGGTCCTTGTTGGGAGGGTGTTTCAGATTATGGTATCTTTATTCTCCATGCACAAAAGCTCACCTTCCTCTTCGCTTGCTTCAGGGAAGTCCGAGACAGCATCAGATTCCTCTTCTGCAGCTGAAGCACCTTCCGAAGCCGCGACATCTGCTGCCAATCCTGCCATTTTGTCCTCTGCATTCTCCGCTCCATCACCTTGACTTCCTTGCTGACCGCTTGCATCTTGTCCGCCATTCTCCTGATCAGAGGTTGCAAGCCTGCCTTTCTCAGGAGTCTTCACTCGTCCGCGAGGTGTCGTCCTCCGTGCAGACAAAGCGACGAAATCGTCCGCAATGTCGTTTTCATCCTGCTCCTCCGTCTCACCCCGTGAAGTATCCTTAATCTCCTTGGTCTCCTTGCTCTTCCTTCTGCTCGCAGGTTCCTCTTTCAATCCAACATCAGAAATGGACAAATGTCGGGATCCCGGAAACTTTTCGTCTGATTCAACTGAGGAGGAGCTCTTGATGCTCATTAGCCGTTGATTCGCATCGGGAATGACGATCAGAGCCGTAAAAAGCAGTCCAAGGACGTACATAGTGATCAGACGCAAGGGTCTTCGTTTGGATTCCGGAGCCGTGACACGGACGCTTAAACTGA